TAACACTTTTACAAACTTGAGCTAAGGTGATGTTTTGATCTTAAAACACTGGACAATATAGATAATAAACATACCCTATTTTACAACAATACAAACCCAATTTACTGTAAGACTAGACCATTTAACTGATTTGCACTGCATTATTATACAACAATGACTCAAAGTCAAAGTAAAGCCTTTCGACTGGTTCATGGAAATTAAATTCCACTTCAGGAAACAAGTCTGGGCTTTAGGCCTGAATTTTCAGAACCTTTATTGTGCTTGCAAAACAATGCAGGCACAACATATATGATGTTAAAAAATAATATAAAAAGGTGTTTACCCTATATTTTTACCATCTGATTGAGATGAGATGTAGACCCTTGGTGGACATTACATTTATTGCACAACTGATCTCTTAGTCACTTGATAAATTGTAACAAGCCACACACACAATCAATTTATTATGGGATAAAGGCTCACGTGGCGAGATGTGTGATTTTGGGAATCCAGGATAAAACTGTTCAGATCCCAACACATGTTTAAATTAACATCTGCCAGGGACCTTAGGTATATTAACATAAGATAAACTAGTGCTGCCAGAACATTTCAGGCATTAATGCTTCACTGTTAAACTCAACAAAATAAAAAACAAAACACTTTTAAAGATAACAGACTATTGTTAACAGGTTATGCTATATACTCAAGTGCACATGTATCCTCAATGCATACATTGCTAAAGGTTTACTACAACAGTGATGATTTAAAGAGAAGAAACCTGCTAAGCACACATTTCACTTGTACGGTTTTACATTCTTTTGTACTTCTATCTCCTACCAGCCTGATCTTGCTCTCCGTACCACGTGTTCCAAGTTCCCACCAGTGCACATGGGTAGTGTTTTTCTTCATGAATCTTTGGCAGCACCTCTTGACTTAAAAACAAGGAATACAGACACTACGTTGCATTTCCTTTAGGGAGGCTACAGTTGATATGTATAACAAATCACATTATGCCACCACATGATCATAATTATGGTATGAACATTGCCAAGCTTTATTTTTCAGAAGAGAAAGCTGAAATACAAAACCTGTATTCAGGAAAAAAAGGATAGGTGCAACCCTCTTTGTGTAAATTAAAGCTAATGCAATCATCCATTAGGCTGCATATCTAATACGCAGCATGGCATATTAGATCTTTTAATGTGACTAGGTAAACTAGGCAATGTCACCTGAAAGGATGTGTGATGCATTAATAAATAGCAAGATGTCCCACTCGGAAGGACTGTAGCACATCTGCACACGTATGGACTTGATTCAGGAACAAGTTTTCTTCTGCTAGCAGCAGAGGTAAGATGCATAGAGATGGGAAAAGATAATCTTTCTCTTGTACTGAAGTTCTGTTACACTCACATTATTCCTATTATGCCAAATGGATAAAGACAATCACTTTGATGGACATGAGTACAATCAAGCTATGGTTGCTCCCTGTAGTATCACCAACCTGCTGCTTTTGAATAGCTTAGAAGGGAAGAAGGCCTAGCCTGAGACTGACTTAACCATTAAAGCATGTATACAGTGAAAGCTGCCTAAAAACGACTTGTGATGTGCAACCTGATTGTAAGCAACCACTATAAAAATATTCCTAGTGCTTCCAGTACAGATGTAGGCTTCAAACTTGAAAGGCTGCCTACATTAGAAAGTTCTGTTTTACTGCTCCCCAGGGTGTTTTAAACACAGATTTCACTGTACTATACTTTGATGAATAAGCTTGTTTCAGACTGGCTAAGGCTTTGTCTTCATTACTTTTTTATCACTGAAAACTGTTGGTCATTTTGCACTCTGGCTCACCACCAGAGATCGTATCTAATGTATCAAATAACAAGGAAGAAGGGTGGTCTCGTGGTTAAGAAACAGCAGTGGGAGTCAGGAGACCTGGGTTTTATGCTTGGCTCTGCCACTGATTTTCTGTGCAACCCTGAGCAAGACTCAATGCCAACCCATGCCTCAAGTTTTCTATCTGAATAACAGGGACAATTTTATGTTCTGACCCCTCACAGAAAAGCTTTGAGTTTTCATCAGTTATTTTTGGAAAAGCACAATAAGATCCTAAAATGGTAGTTACAACAAACATGCAAAATATTACCGCAATGATTCTAGAAGCTGTTTTGTTCTAGATTAGGAAAAATTTACATCACTTGATCATATGCATGAGAATCACATTTTGCTTTTAAATAGCAAACATTAAATTGGCTCCTGATGCTTCAGAAAGGGATCCTGGGTCCAGTGCTTCATTCATTGGTCTTTGTCTATTTCTGTTAATGCACAGTGGCTAATGCTGATCAGACTGATTTGGGATTACCCTAATGGTAGGAATTTTAGCTGCTGAAGCTCACCTTGATATTTAGGCAGGCATTAGTTTAAGACCAATCCAATAACATTCAGTTCAGCGCACCTCCATCAGCAGTTGTTCTAACCTTTGCTTGAAAATAAGTCTCCGCTTGACTTAACATTTAGATATGTCACGAAGCACTGTTGTGCTCCACTTCCCTGTTCCATATAATTGCACACTTTCACGCTGCACTTTTAAACAGACAGTTGGTTCAAAATTATTTGCCAACCTCCGTGTTTTAATCGAAAGAAGTTAAAAATATCTTAGACCTGGAAACTATATTAGAAAGATTTTCCACTCTGGATATTAAGGAGGTTAGTGATGTACTATACCCATTTTAAAAATGAGTAAGGGAAAGCACAGAGAAAGTTGGATGACTTACCCATGGATACAGTAAATCAGTAACAGAGCTAAGACTATAAATCAAGAGTTACGACTCACAGGCTGGCATTCTAGCCACAGACTGGTTGCACTGGGATATTGTTATCTATAGAGTGTTTGATTTAATTGACACAACCTTGTAAATGGTCACTTCCAATGAAAAAGAACTGCCATTTTTAAACATGTGAGGCTCATTGTGTTTCCCAATTTAAGTAGTTACTTCTTTAGAATGGCAGCTCTTATAGCTCCAAACAAGTGATTATGCAGCTAAACCAGGATTAATATTTCTGCAACTGGTCTTTAATTTAGTATGTTTAACATGTCCTTTTTTAAAACAGTAAGCATCTCTTTGGGAAGTCATTCATAATCCTTCCCCCTTTGGATGATGTTACCCCAATGCAAAAAGCCCTCTCTAGGTTTTACATATCACTTAATGAGGGGATTTCCATAATGTCATATTTCATAGAAAAAAGGGTCAGGGCTACTGAGCAGCATTTCTTTGACTTCAAACCCCTCTCCCCACCCTTAAC